TGCCAATCAATGTGAAAAGGAAAGCAACCCCCAAGGAAAACTGGACAGAGGAGAGTTACAGAAAAGGAAATCCAAAAGTCTGACATGAATATGAAGAGCACTTCCAACCCATAGCTGTTAAATAAATGCTCCTGAATATACACTGTAGAGTTTCATACGGTATTCATAGCATAATCCTCATAAGAAGATAAACATCACAGAACTATTTGGGGACCAGGAAGTTGGAGACAATCTATAACTTCGTTTGGTGGGTGACTTCCATAGAGACCAGACTTCGGAAGCAATGGTTGTACCAGAGCAAGATGGGTGGGTATAAAAAACCCAATGTGAAATATGGACTTATATGCATATATACTTTTATAAATCAATAACATTTATGCAAATTGTAAACACACTGCACAAAAATCACCTATATACATTGTTAAAATAATGCTTACACCTACACACACACACACAGACACACACACAGACACCCCCAAGACATGTATTACATATGGGTAAATAGAAATGAAGAATGGAAATAAGATGAATAAATGAATGAATCAACCAATCAATCAAGGGATGAGCGTTGTTGGGGGTTGACTAATTGTAATAATGTGACATCGGCTGAGTTGTGTGATTAACTGAGCCTTTGCATCCTGGGTCCAGCAAACCACACACAACCCGAGGCTCTTCTGGTTCTACACATCTGGCTGCAAGCTCCCCCAAGCCATTTCCTCTTTCCTCTTCTGTTGCCTCCTTCTCTGTCCATTGACCACATGCTTATCTATAAAGGTAACAACTTGGGTTCAGAGTCCCCCTTGACTCCCTCACATTTCAAATTCAGTTGGTCGCTAAGTTCCAGTGTGTACACCTCCCATAGAAGACACAAATAGTCCTTGCTATCCATATCCTACCTACTCATTGCAAAGAAGGACCTGATTCAGCCTTGGGCATCCCTCTGGGTACTGCTGGTATGTTCTCCTACTGGTCTTCCTTGTATTCATTCACCCATCCACCACCACAGTGATTTTTCACAGCAGGAATAGTTATTACTCCATTCTTGAGAAGCTACCAGTTGCACCACTTTACCTGTAGATTTACTTAGCTAATTCTTTGCCAAGGCATGCTAGGTCCTGCCAACACCTCCTAAAGCCCTGGGCTCCAGCTGCCACTGATCCTCCACTGGTGCTTTGGGTCAGCTTGTTTCCAAGACTTTCATATTCATCCTCGCCATGTGCATTCGGTGAAACCTTACCATCTTTTAAGGTCTTGGTCAAATATCCTCTCCTCCCTATCTAGAATTTATTTGTCCCTTGTCTATGCTTCAAGCATCTTTCATACCTCTTCTCTCACAGATCTCTTGTGAAATGCTCCTGCCACAAGCCCTTTGCACTTTGTGGCTTCTTCGGCCTGCAATCCTCTCCCGTGACCTGTCCATGGTGGGATCCTTCTCATTATTCAGACCTCGGCTTCATCTCCTAAAAAAAGCCTTTCCTTCCTAGATTACCATTTCTGACTAGCCCTCTTCACCACCCAACCCTGCTGATAACTCTATCACATATTACTGGGGCTCATCGTCTCCACATTACTTTCTACCATTTGAAGTGAGCTTGTGGACGGATGGGCAGTAGTGTTCTTATTCTGACTTTCCATCTACAATGCACGCACTTGACAGCAGAACATGCCAGTTGGGTCACTGTTATATGCAACACGGACTAGAACTGAGCCTTAAACAAAGTAAACCGTGGACTCTCCCCACACTGTAGATGAGGAAACCGAGGAAAAGCGATGTTAGAGAACTCACCCATAGTTGCAGAGCTAGAGTGCTGATGCTGCAATTCCAACCCAGGTGGTCCCAAGCAGCAGGGCACTGCTCAGTAGCCCTCTTCACCACCCAACCCTGCTGATAACTCTATCACGTATTACTGGAGCTCATCTTCTCCACATTGCTTTCTACCATTGCTTTCTACCCCCTTGCTCACACCCATGTCGGGGTTGGAACTCAGAGAGGACTTACATTTCCAACCTCCAAGGCCAGGGTAGCCTGTCAGGCCCCGGAGATCATTCCATCACCTATGGGAGAGGGGACAGAAATATATCTGCTCTGTTATCAGCAGGCTCCCAATACAAAGGAGAGGGATCAGGAGGTCAAGTCAGAGGGTGACTTCAATGACCTCAAATGTCTACCCCAACACAATATCTCAACATTTGGATTAGCTTTTGTGGTAGGCACTGTCCCCAAAGATGTTCATGACCTGAAACTGGAACCTGTGAACACATTACATTGCATGACAGAAGAAATTTGTAGATGGGATTAAGATTGGGGGCCTTAAAATAGATTATTCTGGATTATCTCGATGAACTCATTATAGTCATGGGAGCCCTTAAAACTGGAAGAGGAAGGCAAAAGAGTCAGACAGGGAGAGATGAGGCCAGAGGAAGAGGCAAAAGAGCCCTGAAGCATGAGAGGGAGTGCAACGCTGTCTTTGGTTGTTGAGAAGGAGAAAGGAACTGTAAGACAAGGAGTAAGAACGTCTTCTATTAATAGAAGCTGGGGTGGCCCTCAGTTAACAGCCAACAGGGAAACAGGACCCTCAGTGTACACGCACAAGGAAGAACCTGAATGGGCAAGGAAACGGATTCTCCCCTAAAGCTGCCAGGAAGAAACACAGCCTGCAGACACCTTGATTTTAGCCTGGTGAAATCTGCAGTGAATTTCCAACGTATCTTTAAAAATGTGAGATAATAAATTTGCACTGTTTTAAGGCACTATGTGGTGATTTGTTCTGGCAAGAATTGAAAGCTAATGCAGATTTAGGCAGAAAATAATGTTTTGCCTGGATCATGGAGCTCGTCAATTTTTGCGGAGACTCATGAATTGATAAGCTTGAATTTTTAAAGAGACCAGCAGGGGTTGCAGCAGGCATCCTCATCAATCAGATACAACTTGATTGGCAGGCCAGGAGCATTAAAAACAGTGCATTGCCTTCAACCTCATCTTAGTGCATTGCAGGTATGTCTGTCTGCCTCATAGATGTACCTGGGCACAAGTGTACTCCTGATTAACCATAATATTAAAAGAAGCCACTCGACATCCCAGTGGAGGGAGACTTTTATTTCTCCTGTGAGTGCACGCTGCATGGCACGCCCTTCCTGGAAACCATCCAGCTGTCAGCCAAACATGGCAAGCACACTTAAAGCGAGGAGTTCTGGCGTAGAATGTGTGGCCAGAAGAACTGAGGCTGGAGGAAAGGCTGTGGTGAACTTCAGGAAACGAAGCAATGTTTGGAGATAACGTCAGTAGAGTCTCAATACCTAATACCCAGTTCTCTCCTGTTTGTGGAAATGTGTCCTGTTTTCTTTCTGGGAAGCCTCGCTGACTTGAGTCAGCCATGTGGCCTGGTTGGAGCCCAGTTGCTCTAGGGATGGATATAGGACCAGAATATTCCATTCTCTGTGTTACAGGAATCTCTCCAGGGATAAGCTTTTATTTCAGATTTAGCCAGCAAGAGGCAGTCTTGGTTTCTGAACTTCAACCTCAGTATTTAAGACAGCAGCTAGCACATAGTAGGTATACATAACTATCGATAAATAAATGAACCACAGTAATTTATGCTGCTATTTACTTGCGAGCAAATCAGATTTTCCAAATACATGTATTTATTTGTCAATGGTTTAATTAATGTTTACAACTCTTGGAAACATTAATTACACCACTGACAATAAATTGTCATGGTTTTGTATAATTTGACAATAATTCGACAGTGGTTTAATATAATTCACATATAATTTGTCAATGGTTTAAAATAATATGATTTTGACAATAATTTGTCAGTGGTTTAATTAATGTTTCCGACTCTTGTCTGTAGAGGTTTGCTTTTCTCTTTCGGCATCTTTCCCTTGGCAGAGTCTATGTTCCACCAGGGGAGGGGCCACATAACTATTGTTTCCCATTGTATCCCCAGGGCCCAGTAGAATTCCCGGCACACTCCAGGCACTCAGGAAATATTTGCTGAGTGAGTGAGTGAATGGATAAATGAATGGCACTCTTATTCTCAGACTTAATACTGTTGTTCTTCCTGGATTTTTGTTTGAAGCTCTCTGGGTTTTTAGCTTGGCTTCTGGCTCTTTGAGAATCTGGAGCCCACTGAGATACAACTTTTCAGTCTAACTCAATAAGAAACAAGCGCCAACAGCGGACTCACACTCTCTGGCCTCTAGGAAAGGCCTGGCCAGCTCGTGAGGTCCATTGATGCATAATTTAGTCTAAAGAAGTGAATATTTAATATGCATTATATGCTAAGCTGAGCCCAGGCATATGTTAATTTACCTGTCACCAACCACTAAGAAAAAAAAAAAAAAGTCCTTGTTTTAGAATTTGTAGAAAATATGCCAGCATGACCATTTTACTGCCATTTCTTGAAATTTATACTAATGTAGTATATAGAAAATAACATGCCACCAATGTCCCCAGCACAAAGATTAAGATTTCTCCGTGTTGGTGAACACTTATTAAACATGACACTGCAGCATGATTCATAGAAAAGAAAAAGATACATTGGACTCTGTCAAATATAAAAATGCTTGTTCTATGTAAGGGCCCATTAAGAAGATGAAAAGACAGGCCAGGCGCTGTGGCTCATGCCTGTAATCCCAGCACTTTGGAAAGCCGAGACAGGCAGATCATGAGGTCAGGAGATCAAGACCATCCTGGCTAACACAGTGAAACAGTGTTAACTACTAAAAATACAAAAAATTAGCCAGGTGTGGTGGTGCGAGCCTGTACAGCCTCCCAGCTACTTGGGAGGCTGAGGCAGGAGAATCACTTGAACCTGAGAGGTGGACGTTGCAGTAAGCTGAGATTACACTACTGCCCTCCAGCCTGGGGACAGATTGAGACTCCATCTCAAAAAAAAAAAAAAAAAATTGTCCCTGTTGAAACACACAGCATGAATTAATTTTCCCTGCAGGTTAACATTTCCTTATATGAATACAGGAATACATGTGTATCCACTCACCTGCTGTTGGGCATTTGAGATTAACTGCCTTGTGATGGGTACCCCTATGAGCACAGCATAGCATGAGAATTCAGATCCCAAGAACAAAAAGACCTGGGTTCAAATTTATCTTGCTTAATTTTATTCCTTTGTAGAAAACACTGAGCCTCAGTTATCTCATCTGGAAAATAGGGATCACAATCATTAATACTTCTGAAAACTGCTGTGAGGAATGGAATAGGATGGATGAGTGAAAAACACTTAGCCGTTCTCACACCTCTGTCATATGCGCAGAGTTGAAAATTCTAGGGGTGTAGAACTTCCAACTACATTTTACTCATGTCCCATGAATACCATTAGACTTTCACCAGGTCGCATTTATCCAACCAACCCTGACTTCTCCATTCAAGCCTCCTCCTTCAGGAGGGCTCCTGGGGTCCCCCTGGGCTGCACTGACCCCTTCCTTTTTTGAGGTCACACCCTGTCCGCATCACTTCCTCAAAAGCTTAAGCAGAAGACTGCATGGCCACACACTCCCCAGCTCAATGATTTCTAACTCTCACTGCCCTGTGAGATCTGAGGCTCCTTCTGTGACAGAAGGAAGGGCTGTTACTAGAAATCAGGAATGAATTTTCACAGGATCTCATATTTTCCACATGCCAAGTTCAGTTTCATTCCAATTAACACTGCCCTGCCCTTAGTACGACACCCAGTCCAAACCACTTATTTTCCCCCTTGGGTGAAAGCTTCTCAAGGTATTCTCAGATTTAGATACCAATATTTAATGTATCTAAATATATCTCACTGAAAAATAAATTCAGTTTTGGCTAAAGCTATTGTTACTTCTCAAATTCAGACTGAACTAGCAATGTAACAGAAAAGCAGAAAATGCACAAGATACAAAAATGGTTCTCAGACATAAACATGAGTTCAAGTTACTCAGAATTAGATTACTATAAAAACAACACTGAGATATGCAGATTGATACAATCCTTCTGTAAGGAAATTTGGCAATACTTTTGGGCCAACATTCATTCCTTTAGAAATCCACCCTGAAAATACACCTCCAAAAGTATATTTTTTAAAAGGTGCAGTTTATTCACTGCAGCATTTCTCGTAATTGCAAAATATTGGAAACAATACAAAATGTCCATCAGAGAAGCGTAGTTGTCTAGATTATGTTATACCTACACATGAGGTCTGATGCCATTATTCAAGAAAATACTGAAGAATGCTATGAATTAAATTCGGATAATTTCCAGGATATACTGTTAGATGTACAAAGAGAGGGAAAATACTGTGCTATCCTTCACGTAAGACAGAATGAGATCGAGAAAATGCACCACTATTTGTTTACTGTTGCGAAATAATTACAGGAACAATAAAACAGAAACTGAATAGAATGAAGGTGATATGGAAAGAAGTAGGAAGAAGAGCAAACAATGGGGTAGCGATGGGGAGGAAGGCACGCCTCCCTGAGTAGAGTTTTTATATCATTTTAACTCAGGACCACACTTATGTTACTACACACTAAAAATGAATAAATGAGATTTAAAACCAGGTTGCAAGGGAAAGCTAAATGGAATATAAATAGCAACTATGGGCCTAACTGTATTAAAACTGAGCAACATAGCCACACAAAAAGGAGTGAGAAGGAAAAGAGCTAGCCTAGGTAACTTTAGAAACTACATTTCGACTCAAGGTAGTAAAGCAAAATACAGTTAGCAATTCTGAAACAACAGACACTAGGATTAAGCCAATAAGGAAATATATAAGGAACATGCGAGCCAGTTTTCTCACTGTCAGAGGAAGAAATTACAAAAAAGGGAAAAGAGAAACCTGGAATGAACCTCGGTGCTATATCTAAATCAGGGGTGCCAATGTAAATCATGTTTTTAATAGGTAGATGATAGACAGACAGATAGATAGATAGATAGATACTACATACATACATATGTAGATCGTAGAAAGATAGATGTGTATGTGTGTATAATAATTAGCATAACATGTATATTTCCTAGCTTTCTGTACTGAGGGGGCTTAAGAGCAATGATAGCCCAGTGGCAATAAGCACAATGTGAGACATAAGTGCAAAAGGACCTTCACCAAAACTCCCCAAGAATATTCTCAGCAGGCGCGGTGGCTCACGCCTGTAATCCCAACACTCTGAGAGGCCAAGGCAGGCAGATCACCTGAGGTCAGGAGTTTGAGACCAGACTGGCTAACATGGTGAAACCTCATCTCTACTAAAAATACCAAAATTAGCCGGGCTTGCTGTTTCATGCCTGTAATCTCAGCTACTCGGGAGGCTGCGGAGGAGAACGGCTGGAACCTGGGAGGTAGAGGTTGCAGTGAGCTAAGATGGTGCCACTGCACTCCAGCCTGGGAAACAGAGTGAGACTCTGTCTCAAAAAAATAAAGAACTTTCTCTATTATGCAGCATAAAAATATTCTCTATTTGAATCAGACTTACTGGCAACCAGATTTGGGAATAAAACATTCAAACTGTATCTTCTAAGTAAATATTTAAATTATCCATGAGTTTCACATACAGAAAAGGAAATTAAGAAAATGCCAATCTTAAATATGTTTTCTTTAATTATCCATGGGTTTATTAACTTAAACATTTACCTCCCAAATATTGATTTACACAAGAAATTTCAGGTGGCATCCTCACTCCTCATGATTACAGCAAATTCCTCTGGGAGCTCTGGGAGATTTATACTCCTGTCCCCACCATGCCACAAGCAAAATGTAAGACAAATTTTGTCTGAAAGCTTTTATGGAAAGTCATAAACATCAGCTGGCAGGTCCTCGTTTTTGTCCTAGAACCAGCTTGCCACAAAATGTGATATCAGAATTTAGGAACATTTTATGAAGCTACGGGGCTGTGTATGGAGAAATGCCGTATGCACTGACAAGCCATCATTCCTCTGTTTAATCTCCGAAGCCAGTATACTAACATCAGTCTTTTTCCCATCAGTAGGTGACATAACTGTTGTCCATGTACCGAATGAGGAGTGAAGCTGTATTTGGCTCAATATTTTGTGCGATCGCTTTCACTACCCTGCTGCATGAGGCATACCCTTAGATGGGAGCATGAGAAAGCCTTTGGGGGGTACAGAGCTATAAAAGTCCTCTTGGCATTGCCCTCATTATGAGCCATAGGAAGAATTAAGTTCAGAGCCTCTAAAAGAAAGCAAGAGCCCATAATATGCACCAGACAGAAAGAGGCTCCCAGAGAGGATATCCTGACCTGGCAATGCCAAGAAAGCTGGCTCCAAGAGAGCCCCAGAGAGCTTCAAGGAAAATTCCATGGCCTTCTGCTGTGCAGGGCACCGGGAATCCTGCCAGAAACACCATGACACAAAGGGCTTGAGTGCACAAAACTGCTGTGTGCAAATCTTTACCTGGAACACACGAATTGTCCTGGAAAGGTGTCATTGTCAGGATGGGCACAACCTCTCCCTCCAAGTACACAGGCAGTGCCGTGTGAAACCTGCTACAACATTCAGCCTTCAAATGGACCCCTTTCAATAAAAGTCCACGTGTCCCTGAAGAGCTAACTACTCATCATGTGGCCACTGGTCACCAACCTGAGAGTGAGGACCTGGGGTGTTTCTGCAGTTAAGAGTATTTATCTTACTCATGAAGGACAGCTTGGGACAATCAAGCTCATTTTTAGTGGCCTTATTAGTGGTAAGGTTGTGAATGAATGTATGACCTCCAAATTAGTTTTCTATGCTGCTGCACAGGAACAAAACTACTACAAACGTATTAGCATAAAACAACGCCAATTTATTATTGTACAGTGCTGGAGGTCAAAAGCCCTAAAACCAAGATGTCAGCAGGGCTGTGTCACTCTGGCAACCCTTGGAGAGAATCCACTCCCTTGCCTTTCTCAGCATCTAGGGCCACCTGTGTTTCTTGGCTCATGGCCTCCTTCCATCTCCAAAACCATCACGCTCATCACTTCAGACTCTGCACCAGTAATTACATCTCCTTCTCTGATGCTGACGGCACCACCTCTCTTTCACTTATAAGTACCCTTCCAAGGTGATCTCCCCATCTCAAGATCTTCAATTTAATCATAACGCAAAGTCCCTGATACTGTGTCAGCAAACATGTTCACAGGTTCCAGTCTAGAATATGGACGTTTTGGGGGGAGTACTATTCTGCCTGCCATAGGCCTCAAGTGCCTTTACATCCACCCTTAAATCTTATTCATTTTATTGGTTCAGCGAACCCTTTTCTTAAACCTCTAGTACAAATAAAAACTTAAGCCTAATGTCTACATCAATTTCCCAAGAAATGGCGTAGATGTTCCAACAGAGAGTATTCCATACAGAGCTGTCAAAACAACAACAATCAATGAAGAAACAGTCCTGCTCTCAAAGAATTATAAAAGCACAGCGAATTTAAGTAGCAGGTCCCACATCACAGAGCAAGTGGTAGAGTTGGGATTTGCATCCAGCAGGCTAGCTCTGGGGTTCACACTTCAAACACTATTCTCTGCTACCTCCTTTAACATTTTAGAGATAGTTATTCCCTTTTGGCCAAGTAGCTGCTGGAATCCTAACCTCCATCTGCCACTTTCTTTTCACCCCCACAACAGCCATTTATGGATTATAGTTTAGTCAGGGTCTTCGTCATGGTTTCTGACCTCTGATGAGAAAACCCTTGTGAAATAAATTCAATGAAGACAAACTCAAAACACACCACACACACACACACACACACACAAAATCATCACATTAATCATAAGCATCCATGCTATGATCTCCCCAGACAAGGGATCAATTTTCAGCAAGATTTACTGGGGTTATTGATGGCTAAAAACCCAGTCCTTTATTCCCTATAAGTGGCAGAGTCCTTGCTGTACCAGGCCTGGATGAAACACTAACTATGTGAAAATGAAGAGGACGTAGCCCCTGGCGACCAAAAGCCCTTAGGCTGGGGGTGACGACTGATCTAATCAGAAATTTATTAAACACCTTGGGAGAAGCCACAAATGACAGAAGAGCAGACCAAGAGCAGGGATCAGCCAGGGAGTAAGAACCTCTCTGAGAACACACAGCCTGAGCAGTCTTGCAGGGCCATAGCAGTCCATTCGGTGTGGGTGGCAAGCTGCTTATCCTTGTAACTTTTTAACTATAGATTTGCTGGAAGTTTAAAAAATAATAAAAAGGTGTCTGTGTGCCTTCACCGAGGTCCCCCATGGTGGTTACATCTTAGGAAGCTACAGTATAGTATCAACAGCAGGAAACTGGGATTGACACAATGTCTGTACATAGAGCTATGCCATTTTATCGTGTGCGGATTCTGTTCCCCATCTCCACAAATTTGTCATTTCAATAAATTGTGTATACATGGAATCATGTATGACATTTTGAGAGTTCTTTTTTCACTCAGCATGATGCCCTTGAGACATATTTGAGTTGCAGTGTCTGTCCATAGTCCATTTATTTTCATTGCTGAGTAGTATTACATGAGATTTAGCCATTTGCCTATTGAAGTAGTTGCTTTTAGACTTTTGGCTATGGTACATAAAGCTGCTGTGAACATTCATGGTAGTTTTTTTTCTTTTTTTTTTTTTTTGGTGTAGATATAAATTATCTCTGTGACAAACACCCAGGAGTTCAACTGCTGGTTTGCATGGTAAGTACATTAAATTTTTGATGAAATTGTCAAACTATTTTCCAGAGTGGCCATAGCATTTTATATTTCCACCAACAAGGTACAAGAGATCCAGTTTCCAACATTCTCACCAAGCATTTGGTATTTTATTTTTTCATTATTATAATAGATGTGTTATTTTTCATCTCATATTGGTCTTAATTTGGATTCCGCTAATAGCTAGCAATATTGCACATAGTTTTATATAATTATTTTTCATCCATATTCTTCAATAAAATGTCTTTTCTTATACTCTGCCCATTTTCTACTTACACTGGCTTTTTACCATCAACTTTTCTATCAGACATGTGGTTTGCCAACATTTTATCCCAGTGTATTGGTTATCTTTCCATCTTTTTTTTTTTTTTTTTTTTTTTTTNTTTGGTGAGGCAGAATCTCGCTCTGTCCCCAAGCTGGAGTGCAGTGGAGTGATCTTGGCTCACTGCAATCTCCACCTCCCGGGTTAAAACGATTCTCCTACCTCCCTCCTCCTCAGCTGGGACTATAGGTGTGTACCACCACACCTAGCTAATTTCTATATTTTTGTAGAGATGGAGTTTCACCATGTTGGGCAGGATGGTCTTGATCTCTTGACCTCGTGACCTGCCAGCCTAAGCCTCCCAAAGTGCTGAGATTACAGGCATGAACCACCGAGCCTGGTCTGTCTTTTCATCTTCTTAATGGGCCCTTACATAGAGCAAACATTTTTACATTTGATGGAGTCCAGTGTATTTCTTCTTCTTCTATGAATCATGCTTCAATGTCATGTTTAATAAATGTTCACCAAGTCTTAGGTCCCAAAGATTTTCTGCATTTCCTTTTAAAACTATATTGCTTTATACAATGATACATTCTGAGTTAATTTTTGTACACGGTGTGACATTTAGGTCAACATTCTTCTTTTTTTGTTTGTTTGTTTGTTTTTTGCCTTTGAATGTCCAATGGCTCAATATATTGAAAAATACTGCGTGATTTTTTAAATTAAGACATGATATACCTCTGCTGAATAATTCTCTCCTTGACAGTTTTCTATGAGCATGCCACTGCTGCCCTACTCTATTAAGTGAGATTTTCCCAGGTCTCAACTTGCTAACACTGCACCTCAACGAATAAAATGGGTTATTGTCAGCTTTTAAAAAAATAATAAATGGGATGTAAAAATACCTTTTCCACCCTCTGCAGACATTTTACCATTCCACTGGTATTTGCGTTTCTATAAAGGAAAATGACATTTTTTTCCCCTGCACTGATAACACATGGTCTGTATGGCATGTAAAAGTCTTCTCTTTTTATTGATATAATTGCTACCTTCACTTCCTTTCAGTCCAGAAGGTAGAGTGTGTATATGGACATGCACATCATTTGGTCTTCAGTATTAAGACAAAGCCTCCCTGAAACTGGAAACTTAATTTTCTTTCGGATTTGGAATACACATCTCTCCAATACTGAGCACTCTTACCCTCTTCATGCCTCCCCCTACTGGCTGACACAGGAAAATTTCCTCAGAATGGATGAATTGATGAAATGCTGGCAATTGTTATGTGGGCATTGACTACCACATCTTCATGTCTGACTGCCTTGGATAGTTGTCCTTATAACAACATTATCTCCAACCACAGTTCACTGAGGTGAGGACTTTCCTGGTCTTCATGAAGCCCAAGGGCACCTCTTCCCTGCAAGGTGGACATGGTTTGATCCAGGCTCTCTTTTCCTAGCTGGATGGCATTGTCCATCCTAACATTACTGATGCCACAGTGACAATGTGGTTGTCTGGAATAAAGCCTTCACGACTCCATTCTGACTGGTCCACAGACATCTCTAAGCAACCCCTATGGGTACAATGAATCATCTGGACAGGAGCCCCAGTTCCTCAACACACAGTTCAAGGCAGTTCTTCATACCTTTCTGATTTCTCTGAAAAACAGAAATTTTTCCATGGTGCCATGATTGTCCCAGTTTCTCTGCACAATGCAGAGTAGAATCTGCATTTTAGCTCAGCTCAAAAGAAGATTGTGTCTCTTATGATGTGGACTCAGGAAGACTATGTCTTTTATGATGTGGAAGATTGTCTCAGGAAGATTGTGCCTCTTGTGATGTGGACTTTTGGCTTCCTATTGAAAAATAAACTTGCTTGTTTGCCCTAAAAAGCTTAAAATTGACATCAATGTCAGAGATACAACTTTTATTTTTCAAAAGAGAAAAAAAAAAAGCCCAAGGACGTATCTAGCATTTATGATCTGCAGCCATTTAATATAAATAACTTTATATTCTGAATTTTAGTTTCTCATAATATCCCGGTTTCTTTCAGAGGAAAAGAGATTTCTTCACTGATGCTTTGACAGATAACAGGTAGACAGGTTCACAGTGACAAAACTCTGTGTACTCTGACTTCTTTTGTCATTTGTCACTAAATATGACAGGAAGGGAAGGAAAGAAAACCATGAATAAAGTATTATGAATGAGTTCCTTGGAAGCTGAGTTAGGCCAACATGCAGCTTACAAATCAGGTAGAGAGATTCCAACTATATTTCATTAGAAATATCATATTTTTCTGTGATCAGTGAGAAAATAAGTCTCCATGGTTGGTTAGCCTCGTAGAAGGCCAGAATGTTATACCGGAGCAATATTTGCGTGAATCATAATTTGCATGTGCTTAAAACATATTTGAGCGGCTTTCTCCCTCCTCTTCTCTTGTTCAGAGTTTGCCTTTCGTGAGCATCCGGGACTGCGGGCCCACACATTTCTGCTTTAAACTCTTACACTTCCACCCCATCCTTGAGTAAATCTGTCCGGCAATCCAGTCTCTGTCCACTGAGGCTTCTTACCCCTGGGGCCACAGAGCTGGGATCCATTAAAGTCCGAGCAAACTGAGGCTCTGGGCAAAGGCCATCCCAGCTTGGTCACAAAAATTAATTCCAAGATCCCCATCAAGCCACAGGGAATGGAGGGAACATGCTCTGAAGAGGAAACTTTTATTTCTTTTTTTTTTCCTTTTCTTTTCTTTATTTCTGTCACCCAGGCTGGAGTGCAGTGGCGTGACCTCGGCTCACTGCAGCCTCGAACTTCAGGACTCCAGCCATCTTCCCACCTCAGCCTCTCGAGTAGCTGGGGCAACAGGCATGTGCCACCATATCCAACTAAGGAAACTTTTTATTAATGAAGGAAGTTGAAAGACCAAGAACACAAAAGTTGCCTAACTGTTCACACAAGTTTGGACTAGAACTAGTGAGAACCCAGCTGGAAGTTGAGGTCTTCTCATAAGCTGTGACATTGAGAGGTGGCCATTCCGGCAGCGCAGGTGTTTGCACTCCCACCATCGTAGATTCCATCCGGGACACTAGGCTTCTGCAGAAGCCCCACCCCTGAACGTTCACTTGTATCTTATTGGGCAAATCCCTATCACATGACCACACAAAGGTCACTGGGAAATGTAGTTTTTTTTTTTTTTTTTTTTTTTTTTTTTTTTTTTTTTTTTTTTTTTTTTTTTTTTTTTTTTTTAAAGCTAGGCACATTATACTGCAAACAAAAGCTGGATTCTATAGATAAGAAGAGGGGAGGATGGTCACAGGCCAGTCAAATATTGGCCACATGAATAAAGAGCCCTATAAGGAAGTAAGGATAAAAATACTTTTTTAAAATGAAGAGTTTAAAATAGTCCCCACTTTAGGAGCAAGGCTAGAAATAGGGAGCAATGGAAAAGAACAATTGCATTTTTGATTGCATGCCTTTCTGGATCACTGAAGTTTGATCATAAATTACATATAGTCCCATGAGCTGAGATAAGTCAGCAATACTTTCACTCAAGATCATTTCCTTACTCTGTTCCCATATGAAAATTGAACTTTGCATATTTGTTCTGATTCTTCAGTGACTTCCTCTCATCAGGACTCCTGACTGACTTGAAATCCACTCTCTGAAATGTGTACATTTTTTTTTCTGTACAGTCTTTTCGAATAAGGATATATATTTGCATTGGGAGTAGGAGGTGGATTTAGGGTAGTTATGAAGAAAATATTTTACCAAGACAAGAACGGCTTTAAACACTTAATTTTAAAGAAAAGAAAACCAACTGAGGTCAAAGACATGTGTTCGCTCTAGGCACACCACACATATATTCAAATGAAACCAGAGAAAGATTCCCCCTACCACCATGATCATAGCCCTGCTTACCAGAAGCATTTGTGAAGACAGGACATGATATTTCCTGGAGTGTTTTGGGGGAAAACCGTAGAGAGCAATATTAGTGAAGAACTGAGTCTGTTGAGCTATCACAGGAGCATGTAGTCTCAAGAAAGGTAGGTTTTCCTGGGATTCTGGGCTGTGTGGAACGATTTCTGAAATGCGAATGCAACTGTTTAACATCAGTTGGCAGCAAGTTTCTATCAATGCGTTTCCAGTCACGCTTAAAGAGTCTCAGGAAGGAGGGTGAAAGGAAAGAGCAGATGATTCCCATTGAGGAGGATTTGGCTTTTGCTGACTAGCAGGCCCAAGGGACTGGAGTCTAACCTGAATGAAGGCCAGCAGCAAGCAGCAGTAGGTGCAAGGAGGCTGTGCATCCAGCCAACCCTGTGAGCATAACCCGCCCGGCAGCAAGAAAAAGACAAGCTCTTTCCTCCTAGGACCTCAACAGTTGCTGTAGGCTCTGCCACCTTCCTGGTCAAGCTGAGGTCTCTCTCCTAGCCTGCCCTGTGGCCACCACCCCTGTCCCAGGTGGGAAAGGCCCCTGGTGTCAGCTGCCTGTCCCACGCTCCCTGCCTAGTCTGCACTGCCACCAGAGCCCACGTGCACATCATAAAAATGGCAATAGTCATCATGCCAGCTGGTCTTGTAGTAAACTCTCCAGGGACTATGCTCGGTGCCTCCTTTGCCCATTAAATTCCCTCCTCTCCAAGAGGCCATGCACTCCCTTGTGGAGACCGCAGGACTCCTGGGAAGCCCAGGTGGGTTCCGGAGACTAACCCAACGCCCCCAGACACCAGGGTCTCAGAGCTCCAGTCCCTACCTGCAACCTCCAAATCACACTGGACTGAATTTGGCACGTAGGAGGAGTCACAGATTTCTGCCAAGCTGGGGTTTGCGGTTGGCTGCGTTGTGAGTGTGCATTCTTCCTTAGTCGGAGGGAAGACGCACAGAAAGCCAGACCCTCTGCCTGGGCACCCGGGTCCCCGTTTGACAAACTGAGAGTAGAGTCGGGATGTGACCTTATGCTCTGGGCAAAGGAGATGCACATAACCGGACCCCACTTCTGGATCCTGGGTGTCACGATGTGTCTGTTTGGAGTCGGGGGCAATAAACATTATGCCTCAGCTGTTCTGTCTCTCACCTCCCGACAGCATCTGGCCTGATTCCAATGCTGCAGGTGGTTACAGGTTGGGGATCTGAAGATCTCAGGATGGCCGCATTTGCCCCCACTCTCCTACCTGGCTGCCAGCAGGGTCCGCCCATTGAGGGAGGAGCGGCTCCACGCCCCAAGGCAGGCGCTCCTGGTGGCACCGGCGTCCTTTCTGGATTCCCAGCAACCTCAAGTTCAAGCTCCCTCCGACCCAGCGTCCTGCGAGAAAGACGCCCACTCCTGCCTTACCTTTGCCAGGCACCGGGCCCCGCACCCGGCTCTGAGCCCCGCACAGCCGCACCCTCGGAGCGCACCCAGCATCCCCGCGGCTCCTGCGCCCGGCCCAGGCCCACGGCCCGGCAGCCGAGTCGGCCGTGCCAGGCGGCGTCTCCGCGGGTCGCTACCTGCCCTGCAGGGTCCTGGCCGCGGCGGCTCGGGCTCTGGTGGCGCCACCAAGACAACTTCCCCAGACCCCGCGGTCACTCTGCAACACTCGAACCCCAACCTCGCCCAGCAGCTTGTGCTTCGCTCCCAGCCGCACCCCGCCCCAGATGCAGGTGGAGAAAGTGCGCCTGTGGGCAGGGAGGGGCGCGCCTGGGAGATTTCCCGCTAGGCCCAGAGAGAAAGGCTGGACGCGGTGCGGGGCGGCTCCTGCGGGCCTCGGGGAATTCGCTCCTGCGGTCCCTAAACCCGACTGCATCCGCCTCTGGCCCTCGCTGTCTGCAGCACAGCCCTGGAGGGTTCTGGCCGCGGACCGGCGCCTCACTGAGCCGGAGGCTGGAAGGCGCGGTCTCCCTGGCATGTGAGGGTGCCTGGAATTAGAGCTGGGTATTTAGGAGTTCTTAAGCAAAGGTTTCTTCAAGAAAGCGACTGGATAGTGGGGATGGAATGAAGAGTCATTCATCCTGACTGCAAGAGGTAGAATGCAGGAGAGAAACTTCTTCAACCAAAGAGATGGACTGTAAAATACTGATTCTTCCAGTTCTAGATGAGAGCAGAAAATTATTTTTTTAATGAATTATGCAAATCCCTCAGTTCTCCACTACATATGGCCACTACCACTACAATTTAGTGTCAGGGACGATTACTTTTGCAGCCCAAGGGACTGGAGAATTTTTCTTTTTAAGTCAAGCTGAATGTATTTCTAGCCTCTCTAGGTGAGTGGGAATTAAAATATATTCCATTGTTACTGGCTGAGGGATCGGGACCTGCTGGGCCCTCTCCTACTCCTGATATATACACACACATATATATATATATATATATATATATATATATATATAGTCCTGGCCTTCTTCATGTGTATATATACACATATACATGTACATATATATATATATATATACACGTGTATATATATATACACATATATAAAAGTGTATATATATATATACATATATATATATATATGCACGTGTATATATACACATATATACACATATACACGAAGAAGCCAGGACAATCTCCAGCCCGTGATCTACTTGCTCTTAGCAGTTCACGACTTGCAGCTGCCCTCCCACCTCCCCCTCCACACACACACCTTTCCACACAGAAGAGCCAAACACAAGTCCTGGACCAAAAATACAGGGTGGAAATCGTCAGGGAGGTCCCAGCCTGGCTGATGTCACAGAGTCGGGGAGTCCTGGCTAAGACAGCCTTCCTTTGCTTTCTGTCTCTACCCAACCCTACCCCCTCATGTGTGGCTAAAGAGAATGTAACTACTATTTACTTAGCATTTATTTTGGGCAATGCACTTTCTATTATTTTTGTTTAGTTAGTTATTTGTTTCTAGTCTGTCCTGAATGCCTCTGTCTGCCCCTACTGCCCATCCAAAATCTAACCTCCATGTGTTTTCCTTCTTAAGTGCTCAGTCCTGAATCCTCAGCGCCTTAAACAGTGCGTGGCGCAGTGTATCCACTCGAACACTTGTCAGAAGAATGGATCTTACGTATTTGCATTATCATGACCCATTTTGCCAAGGAGGAAATCTAGATTGAGAAATGGTAAGGGAAGATCAGCTAGTGGTAATAATGATGATGGGGATGAAAATATTTACTGAATATTATATTCAGTAATTAATTATTTACGGGAAGTAGAAAAGTTCCTTTTTAAAGTTTCCTTTCTTTTTTAAAAATAAGTGTGCTAAGAACTCTGTTAAGCCCTATCCTATGTAGCTGTTAGACATGCCATGCTTACAGGCATGTAGTACATTCTGTGTCCTTGTACTTTAACCAAGATATCTGTGCCGGATGTGCTCACAGGCATGCTCCAGATCTCCATTGTTTTTACCTCTTAGAAAGTTTTAACTTGTTAGCCAATTGGGTTTTAGTTTAGATTGTGAGGTCTGGCTCCAGTCCACCGAGATCGGACACAGCAACAAGGACAACCCCAAATGTGTAAGGGATAAATTTGTGTGTTTTCGTTTGTACATTGTACTCTTGTGGCAAGATGGTTAGTGAAGGCACCCTTCCTGCAGTCCAGGAAGTAAAAATTGTGTTGCTGAAAGATCCTTTGTCTTAATGCTAGTTTTTCTTGGCAGCACCGAGCACCTATTTCCAATGACACTTGTTCTGAGTAGGGCATTATCCTAAAGGTAACACTTGGGTTAAGTCAACATGTTACAGGAAAGTGGTCCCGATCCAGATGCCAAGAGATGGTTCTTGGATCTCGCACAAAAATTCAGGGTGAGTCCGCAGTGCAAAGCGAAAGCAAGTTTATCAAGAAAGTAAAGTGGTGAAAGAACAGCTACTCCATGGACAGAGCAGGACGTTCCGGAAAGTAAGAGGAGGAATGTGTCCCCCCAGGCACAATGTTTGTTTACATACAGGATTAAAAAGATCATGGGGAGATGTGCTTTGCTGCAAGGGTTTATGATAAAGGATTAATTTTCTCAATTACTATATTTTGCAAGAATCGATATTATTATTTTAAAGCAAACTTAGGAATGTTTCTGTTCGCAAGATATCAGGATATCAGGACTCTCAAGTCTGGGTCTGTTTAGTAAATGTTATCAATCTGTTCCCTTAACCGTATACATATAGAGGATGGGAATACCTAAATACCTAACTTCCTAGGAATGCAGCCCAGCAAGGCTGAGCCTCATTTTCTTAGCCTTCACTCAGGATGGAGTTGCTCTGGTTCAAACTCCTCTGACAATAAATCTTCACAAACAGCTGTGGGTATGTACTCTTATTATACCTATTTCACAGACAAGAAAGCAGGTTCTGTAACTTGCATTGCCACACTGCTAGTTTGTGGTGGATCTGGAATTCAAATGCAGGCGTTCTATCTTCAGAGCCCACATCTCCAACTCCTTCACTAGGCTGATTGATGCTAAGAAGTGTCTAGAATTCATGACCCTCCCTCATACCAGGTACCAGGTATCTTGATGATCTGTGTTGCCTTTCCCTTCTAGGACATCCTTCTGTGTGAGCTCTTGCCTGCTAGACTTTTCTACTTCATGCAAAAGGAGAAGCATTGATTGATCGCTTCTACTGCACAGTGCACAAGAGCACCCAGAACAGCTTCTTCTCAGGGCTGAGATCTACACTGAAGTTATCCTCTGTCAAGCTACGCAGAGGGAATTCTTTTTCTTATTTGAGACAGAGTTTCACTCTTGTTGCCCAGGCTGGAGTGTAATGGCACAACATCAGCTCACTTCACCCTCTGCCTCCTGGGTTCAAGCGATTCTCCTGCGTCAGCCTTTAGCCCAGCTTCCCTGGCAGCTTTTGCCCTGTGTTAGTAACTTTTCTGATTGATATCCAAATGCCTATTCTTGTCATTTAGCCTAGTCCCCTCCTGGCCACTACATGAAGCTCTGGTTTTGGAAGAAAATCTGCAGCCTGGAGGGTTCACCCACCACACTCCGCTGTGGGCTCAAGATCATAAAACCAACAATTTAGTGCCAACATTAGCATGATAATGCTCAGATTCTGTTACAAATGGAATTAACTCATCACATAGTCATTTCCTTTATTCAGTTTTCACACATTGTGGTAAGAGCTAACACTCAGGTGGCCCTTCTTTTGATCTGGCTTTGCTTGTATTAAGCCCACTTAATCCTCACAGCATCCCTAGGAGGTTACCATTTTTATTATTCCTTTTTAAAGCTGAGAGAATATGGACATGAATGAGTTAACATTTATAAAAATAGTAATTGGAAGACATGAAATCCAAACTCAGGCAATTTGGCTACAGAGGCCACATTTTAAACCATGTCACTAGTCTGCCTCCCTGTGTGCTCTCCTAAAAATATGGGGCTCAAACTCAGTTTATCCAAAAACACAACTCTTTGGCAAACCCTTTTTTTTTTTTTTGGGATGGAGTCTTGCTCTGTCGCCAGGCTGGAGTGCAGCGGCACAATCTCAGCTCACTGCAACCTCCGCCTCCTGGGTTCAAGCAATTCTTCCACCCCAGCATCCCGAGTAGCTGAGACCACAGGTGCATGCCACCATGCCCGGCTAATTTTTGTATTTTTAGTAGACATGGGGTTTCACCGTGTTGGCCAGGATGGTCTTGATCTCTTGACTCATGACCCACCCGCCTCAGCCTCCCAAAGTGCTGGGAATACAAGCATGAGCCACCGCGCCCAGCCAGTAAACTCTTTTTTCTTTCACAAAACCGCATTTAATGCACTGTGTTCCAACAGGATCATAGTACTTCGTTGAGATTGGTTTATTTGTTTTGCACTTAATTTATGATATTTATTAAATCACAGAAAACACAAAATTTGGGGTGGAAACAGAAACAGGATTATGTGATGAAAGAACTAATTAACCCCACATGACTCAAGGCCAGAGTGGTCACTCAGCGGTCATTTTTCATTGCAGCAGTGGTAGTGACAGCAGAATTGGTTCACACGGTCTCTGTAATGATAAACTGGGCAACATAGTCCCCGTTTTCTGCTTCCTCTTTCTTTATCTGTGGAGCTCTGTTTGTTTCTACCATCCCCAGCCCTACTGTCCCACCGTGTCACCACGTGCTGGTGCCTACACATCTTCCTGAACACACTCCTATTGCCAGAGGCCAAAGCCACTTTCTGTCGCTTACAACCCACAAAGCAAATTTGCACTAGGCAAAATTAAGCAGACTTGTTTAATGCATGACTTGTGTAATAGGAAAGAAGGGCCACAACTTAGACTGGGCTCAACTCAGCTGAAACAAAGGCTGTAAGGATTTTTAAATAGGAGAGTAAGGAGGAAAACACAGGCTATCTGTGTTTGCTCTTTGATTTTACCAAAAAAAAAAAAAAAATAAAAGTCAAAAAAAATCAAAGAGCAAACTTTCTCCTGTCTTTGTAACAGGAGGGAGTTTTACAGCTTAAAGCAAGACTCCCACCCAAGCTAGAATCCTTTCCTCCCACAGAGACTGGGAGCTGGGACTTATCTTCCTGGAGGATCATATTTCAAATCAATGGCTCCCAGGTCCTTGAGAAAGATATTTATGGGTTATAAAACTGGCAGGAGACTTGATAAAACATTTACATCTCAAAGGAGCAGAAAAAGAATGATCAACTGCATGTTTTCTAAAGTAAATGTTCTGTAAACAGGAAGGAAAGGGGCCTCTGAGGTTGGGCCACCTGGGTTATGCAAGGTCCAGGTGAGAGGAAACAAGCCTGGAGTCAGGTGGGCCTGGATAAGGTGCAATCAAGCTGAGGAGGGCACTAACTCTCTGTAGATTACAGCTGACAACATGGAGCACAGCTGCCACAACCAGATGAGGTTCTAGGACCTGAGCCAGGGTTAAATCTTAAAGTAGGAATCAGTGTATTTTTAGGAATATTTCCTTTTTGTTCTGTTTCTGACATGTATCCCAGAAGGTGTCTTTCCCTCCCACACCACACAGAGAAGAGGGAATAAATACTCAAAAAATTCATCTATTTGAGACAGAAAATTCCAG